TTTGCCACTTATACAATTGCGTGCATTGCAGCATTGAGCACTTTTCAAAGCGCCCGGCACTGTGGTGCTTACATGTATAAAAATACCTTAAGTGCTTAGTCTTGTATGCCTTGCTAACTCAAACTCAGTTCTCATTAATGATTGTGATTCATGCCTGGATGCTAACTTTGAATGCTCATCAGGGCATAACATGTGACTGAGAGCTAGGTTCTGAGCCCAATCACACCCGTGTTAGTCCAAAATAACTCCGAGGTCAGCTGGGGTGTAATTTGGTATGCCACTCACCCTTAATTTAAAGAGTTTACTCAATCAGATGCTTATCATTCTTCTAGGTGGGATGAACTCAGTCCAGCTCATCAAGAAACTTGATAATGAACTTTAGTGGGCATTACTTCAGGCCTTTGGTTAGTATCAGCTCAAGCAAGTCTGAACTATTCAAAAATTTAAAATAGCAAAAACCCACCAACAATTCCTTTCCAACAAGGGCCTCATCCTACTCGGTCAAGGAGTATTGCAGCTAACCTTCATGGCTACAGTGCCAATTGCTACCACACTTAAAGATATTCTTTGACTCTGTTTCACAGTTGTTAGGGGCTGGAAGAGACCTTACAGATCATCAGGTCCAGCCCCGCCTGCACTTGAGCAGGAAAGCCTGCTGGGATCAGACCCCAGCAAGATGGGCATCAAGTGTTGTTACCAACCTGTGGTTTTGTCACTGAACTTACTCCTTTGCATGCTCAATCACAATTCATCACATAGGAAAGGGAAAGAAAGATCTAGATTCCACAGATTTGCTGATGCTGCATTAAACAGCACTCTCATATTTGTGCTGGATCTGATCAAAGCTACTTTTCAAACACAACTCAAGTATTTCCAAAGAATATATTTTTCCAATTTTTTCTTTTCTCACAAAAGGACCAGTTCAATTTCTGGTGTGCTCTTAAGTATGAAGAGAGGACATCAGGTATCAATAAAAGATACATTTTTCCAGTGGTTCCACCCACCCTACCCACCTTTTTCTTTCTAAATGTGGGATCAGGGCTTGAATCCTTTATTTCAACCTAGCACAAATTGGAATGACTGAGTTAGAAGCCTCTCAGAAATAGTGTTAGTAATAGGAATATCTGCAGATCTTTAACTTTAATTGTAGTGGGCCCTCATATAACAATTGCCAATCTATTAGGCTGAAGGTAGCTTAATGGTATATGAAAAACGTAATGTTTTACCATCTGAAAAAAATCAGGTTTGGGAACATATTCAGGATTTCAGGCTTTAGGCCAACCAGAGTTGGTTGTTTTTCAAAAATAATATGCCAGGTACAATGATCTTACAATATGTTGCACTTGCAAACCTATTACAACCTTGTTAATTAATCCATAGAGCAAAACAGACATCATATCCAAAAAGAGCCATCTGCCTACCCTTTTCCAAAGGCATGGGGAGCATCTAATAAGAAATGAATACATTTAAAAAATAGTGAGCACTTAATGAAACATTCCAAAGCAGTAACAATTGAGACATTTTTGTTAAAATTATAAAAGCTATATTAATCAATGAAAGAAACCCTTAAAGTGATACATTTATAATATCAATAGTTTGCTTTTTAAAGTCTTGTAAATATGCATGGTAGTTTTTTATGTACAAGACGTGATGGGGGAGACATTTCATAGATTTCATAGATTTCATAGACATCAGGGCTGGAAGGGACCTCGGAAGATCATCGAGTCCAGCCCCCCGCCCAAAGGGCAGGAAGTCAGCTGGGGTCATAGGATCCCAGCAAGATAAGCATCCAGTTTCATCTTGAAGGTGGTCAATGAAGGCGCTTGAACCACCTCCGGTGGCAGGCTGTTCCAGACCTTGGGGGCTCAGACAGTAATGAAGTTCTTCCTTATGTCCAGCATGAAATGATCTTGAAGGAGTTTGTGACCATTCGACCTCATCATCCCTTGGGGCGCTCTGGTGAACAAACATTCCCCCAGATGCTGGTGGTCACCCCTGATAAACTTGTAGGTGGCCATCAGATCACCCCTGAGCCTGCGCTTTTTCAGGCTAAAGAGCCCCAGGGCTCTCAGCCTGTCATCGTAGGGTCTGCTTCCCTGACCTCTGATCATGCGCGTGGCTCTTCTCTGGACTCTCTCAAGCTTCTCCACATCCTTTTTGAATTGTGGAGCCCAAAACTGGACACAGTACTCCAGCTGCGGCCTCACTAAGGCCGAGTACAGGGGGAGAATGAGAAGCATCTATGGATGCAAGCCAGCGTTTTGGTCGCTTTACTAGCCGCCGCATTGCATTGCTGGAGGCTCCTGTTACTTTTAAGGGGAGAGGGCAGCAAACCAGGCCTACTGTGGCAGCTGAGCAAAGGCCGGCTGCTAGAAAGCAAGCAACTCAGAGGCAACAGGGATAAAAGCTGCAACTGGGAGTGTGTATCCTGGAGCTAGGCAGAAAAAGGGGCAGAACTCTAGGCAGCCGGGAGACAGTAAGGGGGAGCATGACTTGCTGTGGGGTAATGACCCAAAATTGGGTGCAAGTTTTGGTTTGAAGCAGATGCTTATGTTTCTGTTTTGACCATAGATTTGGACTGTGACTATGGGAGTGGTCTGAAGGTCATAGGGGTTCTGAGTCAGGCCCAGTGCAAAAGTCCCTGTAAGGAGCAGGGACCCAAGGGTGGATGAGAGAGAAAGAGCAGCATCATTTAATGCTGGGAACAGAGGTTGAGACAGGGCCAGGATTATTGCCCCTAAAGCACATTGTTCCTTAAGGCAAGGATACAGCTAGGAGTGCCACCATTTAGTGTCTGAGGTGCAATACTACCAGTTGGGCGCAAGTAGTACTAGGATTCCCGTTAAACAGCAAGCTGAGGTGAACTGAGGGTCACTCTAAAACCATGGGACAGCCTTCCTAAGTGCCATAATATCCATCAAGGTATAGCAGAAAAAGGAAGGGTACTCTGAGGGGCTGGACTGGGGCAGGAGTAGTTTGCCCACTGTGGGCATCACAGTCATCCTTGGGGCTGGTGATATCACATTCCCTTCCCTTTGCCCTACCCCTTGCTGCCCTCCCCCCATCCCAGACCAAAAAAATTGTAATGCTAGCTACTTCGAAAAATTTTACATCTAAAGATCTTCCAAACCTTAACAGGCTAAATTAATTACTTCCAAATCATGTGGTGTGAAGGTAAATCTATATATAACTGGACGTGGTGCAGTGTAATGATATCTAAATGAGCTAGCTCAGCTAGTGAATGCAGGACACCCATAGCAGCCTACTACTCCCTGCAAGTAAAACTAGCTTTTGTGGACCTTGATGTGACTGCTCCCATTATCTGAACTACCTGGAGTACCTCTGCACGCCACTGCAGAACTTACTCTAAGTATCATTAGCCCAGAGAGGGAAACTGAAACAGTTTTAAGGGACAGTTTTGAAACCTTACTGGTGACTCCATTGGAGGGGTACTAATTCTTGCTTAGTAGGAATAAAGGTTGTCAAATCAAGGCCTCAGTGGTTTATACCTTCTTTTGCTTCTCTCACCACTACTTGGGTGCACAGCTGGAAGTAAAGGGCCATAGCTGGAAATAAAGCTTTACATTTCTTCATTTCTACTTTAAGTTCTCTACAAGAGAAGAGCAGTAGAATAAAAACCTCTTTTATCCATCTCAATTAGCAGTTATAACCCCTCAATACCTCTAGGGGAGATCAGCTTGTTTCCTTTGACGCATCTTAGATGCAGGCCATAACAAACATTTAGATAGTTCAGCAGCATCACCAGTACATATATACCATCCTTTGCTTGTTTGAGGTTTGTATTGGGTTTGTGTTTTCTAAATCATTGGTGATGTTGCTTGCTTGTTTGTTTTTCTTAGTCACTTCCTCTGTCCCCACATGTTGTGTGTGTTGATTGATTGTTGTTTTCCTCCTTTGAAAATATATTTAAAAGATTTGTTTGGTGTTTGACTTGTGTCTCCTTTTCAAAAGACTGGAGGTCTAAATGAAACAAAAACAGTTGCTGAACATGGATCAGGATCCAGTCTATTAGTTTGTCCGCCCCCTATGCTCAGATGCATGAGGACAGAAAGATATGGATTTTCTTGAAGAGGTCACAAAACTAGCGGAGATGCTAGTGAAGATGTGCTTTCTGAAGTGGACTGGAAAATGGCTCGCTGAGGAACTTCTATTTTGATTGCACGTTGAGGCTTCTTTTCATCAATGAACTTATTAATTGGTTTGGAACTGTTACTTTTACTGAGGGATGCAGTGACCTCTGCTGTTCCAAGTGTGCCTGGAAATTGATTACATAATGATCTATTAAGTAGCAAATTGCTCTTTTTATTAGATATAAAGTGCGGAGAAAAGGCCTAAAATTATAAAAGAAAATATGTGAAAGCGTAGCGCACACTTGCGCAGCAGAAGGAGCTGCCACTGAACGTGCAAGGCTTACCAAGTCTCAGGGGAGGGGGTGTGGGTTTCCATAGACGCCTCCTGTTGCCACAGCGATTCCGTGGGCCATAATCTGTGGCCCAAGAGGTGATGACACAAATAACACCCTGCTTTCTATCACGGGACACACTGAAGCGCTTCAGAAACTGGGCTTCACTTAGCTCCCAACTCTAAGCATGCGCTCCAGACGGGGAACCGAAGTGATGTGCCCGCAGCAAAGCCATACAGAGCTGAAAGCAGAAGCCAGGAATCCCCAGACACCAAGGCTACCCCCTGCTTGAGCTCCTTGCCCCCAAAACCCTCCCAGAGCTGCTACCAGGAGGCCTACGGCCCAGAGACCACTCAGCCCCGGTTACTAAACAGATTAACTACGTTCCCCCATCCCCTTTTCCTATTGGCTGCAGGTGTTCGCTTGCCTCCTCCTTTTTTTTCATTGGTTGCGTGACCCCTGCCGGCCAGGTAACGGATGCGGGCTTTTGATTGGTCAGACGCGGGCGGGATCCCTCTTGGGATTGGCTCCAGGTGGGCCGGCGCTTGCTATTGGCCGGCAGGTAGCGTGGGAGGCGCTCTATTGGCTGTTGTGGACGCTAACCTGCTGGGTTCGCCATGTTTGGAGTAGTGGCGCCGGTGCCGCAGCAGCCGCGGAGTGGGGGGCGCTGAGCTGGGCCGAGGTGGGTGCGGGGCTGTACGGGGCAGGGGGGCTCGGCCGCCGCTGCCGCCGTCTCAGCCGGCCGGGGCGGGCCGGGCCGGGGGGC